AGGCGCGCGCGCTGCACCAGTTCGGCGCTGACCTCGACGGGCTCCTGGACTGGCTTCGCGACGCCTACCGCCTGGCAGCCGCGGGCGACTTCGGCCACGACGAAGCATCCAGCCGCCGCCTGGCCCGCCAGCACCGCGCGCTCACCGGGGAGGTGGAAGCGCATCGCGGACCGGTGGGCGGCCTGCGGCGTCAGCTGGCGACACTGGGGGGCGCCAGCGGCGCCGGGCCCCTGGTGGTGGCGCTGCAGGTGCGCGTGGTGGAGGCGGAGCAGTTGTTCGCTGAGGTGACCGAGGTGGCCGCGCTGCGGCGCCAGTGGCTGCGAGATGCCCTGGCTGTCTACCGCATGTTTGGCGAGGTGCACGCGTGCGAGCTGTGGATCGGTGAGAAGGAGCAGTGGCTGCTCGCCATGCAGGTGCCCGATTCCCTGGACGACGTCGAGGTGGTGCAGCACCGGTGAGGCGCACCTGGGGGTCTCCCGGGCCCCCTTCCTCACGCACACAGTCTCGCCTTTGTTGGCTCAACAGTTCCCAGGGGTTCCAGTAAAATGGGAATGACATTAGTCCCAACCTCACTGGCTTGTGGTGAACAGTAAATGAGTTAATAGTGTAGACACTTAGCAAATACCCGGGTTCAGGGAGCATTCCAGGAGCGTTTGCTGTTATTACTATGAGGCTTATATTCACTTGGCAGGAAATTGACCTAAGATCCTCCAGGGACACCCCGGCCTGGCCCATCCCCTGGGACTCCCACTGCCCCTGGACAAGTGTCACCACCCTAGCTAATAAAAATAGCTCTGGCCCTTGTCACTTTCTCTCCCCTCGGCCCTGCTTACATTTCTTCATGGCACTCACAGCCTGTGACACTGACACTGATACTTAGATACTGATTGGTCTGGTGGCTGACTTAGTACTGAGTTGTTAAGTTAACTGGGTGGACCCTCTGCACCGCTCTCTCTGAGCATCTTGTTCATCCGTCCATTCATTCCACAGGTCCTTACTGAGCTCCCGCTCCACTCTAGGTCCTGTGCTGGGCATTGCTGGAAACACAGGCCTGGTCCCCGCCCTTACTGTGCCCTCAGTTACTCAAGCCACAGCCTTGGGCGTTGTTTTAAACAAGGGAGGACCGTGACTAGCTTTAAAAAGGTCTCCCTGGGGCCGGCCTGGTGGCGCAAGCGGTTAAGTGCGTGCGCTCCGCTGCAGCGGCCCGGGGTTCGCTGGTTCGGATCCCAGGCATGCACTGACGCACCACTTATCAAGCCATGCTGTGGGGGCGTCCCATATAAAGTGGAGGAAGATGGGCACAGATGTTAGCTCACGGCCGGTCTTCCTCAGCAAAAAGAGGAGGATTGGCAGATGTTAGCTCAGGGCTGATCTTCCTCACACACACACACACACACCCACAGAGATCTCCCTGGCTGCTGTGCAGGGGATGGGTTGAAGTTGAAGATGGTCCAAAAAGAAAGAGATTGAGGTGGGAGACTGAGATGCGGGGGTCATGAGTTCAGAGGTGAGGACCGAGGCTGTGCGGATGGATGAGATGGTCCAGGCAGGGTGTGAGGGAAAACTCAGAGGGTCCAGGACAGAGCCCTGAGGAAGCTAACATTTAAGAGGCAGGTAGAAGGAGGAGGAGCTGACAAAGGACCCTGAGAAGGTGAGGTTGGAGAGTTAGGGGGAGAACCAGGAGAAGGCAGGTTCATAAAGCCAAGAAATATGTGGGTCCCCAGGGTCCAGGCCTCTCTGAGCACGTCCATCCTCCTCCTGCAGGTTTGAGAGTCTGGACCAGGAGATGAACAGTCTGATGGGTCGTGTCCTGGATGTGAACCACACGGTCCAGGAGCTGGTGGAAGGAGGCCACCCCAGCTCAGAGGAGGTGCGTTCCTGCCAGGACCACCTCAACGGCAGGTAGGCGGGGCCTGGAGCTGGAAGTCCTTCTAGGTATCTCACACTAATTCTTCTTGTGATCCCTTTCCTCATTCCCTCAATCGTGGAAATAAAGAACATGCAGTTTCAAACCCTTGAGATGATGAGGGCCACCCAGTAAATCAGCAAAATCTTGAAAAAAAAATGGTAATACCCAGTGCTAGTGATGATGTGGCAAAATGAGCATACAGTACAATTTCAGTGGGCTATTTATTTATTCATAAATGATTTATTGAGTATCTACTATCTGCCAGGAATTTTTCTAAGCACTTTATATGCCTTGTTTATCTTTCAATGCCTCAATTTCCATAGTGAAGTTTCCAGAATTCAGAACTCTTTAAAAATAGTAACAAATTAATATTTTCCCCCTAGAACACTACCAGCATTTCCCTCTACCACACTACCAGTGTGGGTAGGTTCATAGATGAAGACACAGAACCAGAGAGGTGAAATCCTTATCCAAGATTACTCAATCTAGTAAGTAGGAGTCAAAGCCAGTTCTGTCTGAATCCAGAGCTGGGGCTATTGATTGCATATATTCAGTCTTCCCAGCCACCCTGTGGGATATAAATTACCCCATGTTAGAGAGGAGGAAACTGGGGCTCAGAGAGGTGAAGACGCTGGCCCAAGGTCACACAGCAAATTAGAGGCTCAAGCCTGGATTTGAAGTTGAATTTGTCTGACTCCAAAGACTGTGCCCTTAACTACTGTGCTGTGAGATCCCAATAACCAGTTATTTCAGAGCCTCTGTGGCCTTGACAATCCCAAAGCATCAGGGCCAAAAGATAACAATAATGATTTACAGCATTTACTGAGATGATGCGTAAAGTGCTTTAGCCGCATGATCTCATTAAACGCTCAGTGAAGTGGACATTATTATCCCCATTTTCCAGATGAGGAGACTGAGGATCAGAGAGGGGAATGATTTGCCTAAGATCACATGGCGAATCTGGCCAGAGCAGAACTTAAACTTGGCTCCTTCAGGCTTCAGAGTCCTAATCGCTGCCCCTGTGGTGTATCCATTCCAGAGCGGGCAGAGAGACAGCTGACAAGTAAACTAATAAATGAAGAAGATATTTAGAGAATCGTAAAAATGATGTGGGGAGTAGAGAGACCTGGAGGGGCATGACCAGGGGTTGGGGTGATGTTAGATCTTGTGGTTCGCAAAGACATTTTGAGCTGGGCCCTCAAAGGGGATGAGGAGCCAGCCACAGAAGAGTATGTATGTGGAAGGGGAGGGAGGGTACGAAGCATTCCAGGCAGGGAGCACAGCCTAGGCAAAGGCCCTGTGGCAGAAAAGGGCTGGATATGTTCCCAAAGATTGTCCCCACTCAATAAGAGTAGCAAATAGTTACTGTTTGAAGCATTTCATAAATCATAACTCATTTGACTCTCGCAACCCCCCTGTGCTATGATTGTGTCCATTTTACTGATGAAGAAACCGAGGCACAGAGAGGGTTACTACCAGAAGGGTGCACAGCTCGGATTTGGCTCCAGGCAGCCCGGCTCAGATTCTGTGCTTGCAACCTGGACCATATGCTGCCTCTGAACGGGAACTGAGGCCAGAGAAGTACCATCACTTGCCTGGGGGCTCAGAGCAATACACAATTTTTTCCATTAATTTATTTTGGAATAAAACAGGTTTGCCTTTGCACCACTCGGCACCTGGCGACATATTATCTGACGTTGTCAGCCAGCAGTTCTCACAGTCTGGTCTCGGAACCCCCTTGCCCTTGTGAAAACTATCAAGGGCTCCAAGGAGCTTGTCTTAGTGGGCCGTATCTATCAATATTTACTATATGAGACATTAATACTGAGTAAGTTAAAAATATTAAGTCACTGGGCCAGCCCCGTGGCTTAGCGGTTAAATGCGCATGCTCCGCTACTGGCTGGGTTCAGATCCCAGGCGTGCACCAACGCACCGCTTGTCCAGCCATGCTGAGGCCGAGTCCCACATACAGCAACTAGAAGGATGTGCAGCTATGACATACGTCTACTGGGGCTTTGGGGAAAAAACAGGAGGAGGATTGGCAATAGATGTTAGCTCAGAGCCGGTCTTCCTCAGCAAAAAAAAAAAAAAAAGAGGAGGATTAGCATGGATGTTAGCTCAGGGCTGATCTTCCTCAAAAAAAAAATTAAGTCGCTTCAAAATAACAATAATAAACCTATTATGTTAACATAACTAATAATTTTTTAATGAAAAATAACTATTTTCCTAAACAAAAAACATAGTGACAAGAGTGGCCTTGTTTTGCGTTTGTGCAAATCTCTTAAACATCTGGCTTAGGAGAAGGCAGCTGAGTTCCCAGGTCTGCTGCTGCCTTTGGTCTTCGTCGTGCAGCCTCTGGAAAACTCCACCGTACACTCAGGGGAGAATAACAGTGAAAGGCAAATAGCATCTTAGCATTTTTATGAAGATAGTTTTGACCCCGCTCAGATCACATTTTGAGAGCCGCTGCTCTAAGCAAATGTGCCGGGTAGGGTTCCATGTTACACAGGCAGAAACTGGGGCTCAGTGAGATAAAGTGACTTTCCAAGGTCACACAGTAGGTGGGTTCTACCCTGAGTCGGTGGGCTTTCCCCGCCCAAGAGGAGTCCCTGTGCTCCTGAAGCCGCCCTCCTTCCCTTGGGCAGGTGGAACCGCATCGTGGAGCTGGTGGAACAGCGCAAAGAGGAGATGAGCGCGGTACTGCTGGTGGAGAACCACGTGCTGGAGGTGGCCGAGGTGCGCGCCCAGGTGCGCGAGAAGCGGAGGGCTGTGGAGAGCGCGCCCCGCGCCGGCGGCGCCCTACAGTGGCGCCTTAGCGGCCTGGAGGCGGCTCTGCAAGCGCTGGAGCCGCGCCAGGCGGCCCTCCTGGAGGAGGCAGCCCTGCTGGCTGAGCGCTTCCCGGCGCAGGCTGCGCGGCTGCATCAGAGCGCAGAGGAACTGGGCGCCGAGTGGGGCGCGCTGGCCGGTGCGGCTCAGGCCTGTGGCGAGGCGGTGGCGGCGGCCGGGCGCCTGCAGCGTTTCCTGCACGACCTGGACGCTTTCCTGGACTGGTTGGTGCGCGCCCAGGAGGCGGCGGGCGGTGACGAGGGGCCCCTGCCCGGCAGCCTGGAAGAGGCGGACGCGCTGCTGGCGCGCCACGCCGCACTCAAGGAGGAAGTGGACCAGCGCGAGGAGGACTATGCGCGCATCGTGGCGGCCAGCGAGGCACTGCTGGCGGCCGAGGGCGCCGAGCTGGGCCCAGGCCTGGCCCTCGACGAGTGGCTGCCGCATCTCCAAGTTGGCTGGCACAAGCTGCTCGGCTTGTGGGAGGCGCGCAGGGAGGCGCTGGTCCAGGCGCACGTCTACCAGCTCTTCCTGCGCGACCTACGCCAGGCGCGCGCCGTGCTGCGCAACCAGGTGCCAGCTTCGGGGTTCGGGGGGTTGGGGGTCCGAGGCCGCGGCGGATTGCGGGGACAGGGAAACGTACGCAGGAGTGTGCATGCGAGGACCACTGGGTTCGTGGCTTATCCGAGGTCGGTAGGATTGGGGAGGGTATCTGGTGTGGATAGCCGGGTTTGTGGATCATCCAGTGTGAACACGTGTGCGCATGCCTGTAACAGAGTTTGAGGATTTATGATGGGTGGGTTGGTGTCTTATCTGAGGTGACTAACAGTTTGTGGACTATCCAGAGCGAGTAATGCGCTTGGATATTCGTTAGAGTGGCTTCCTGGGTTTGTGGATTATCCGGAAGGGAGTCTGAGGTTGGTTGGTGATGGTTAATGGGTTCTTGAGGAGGATAACTGAGGATAAAGATTATGGAATTAGGTAATTCAAACTGAGAGATTACCGGGATCAGTAAGTGACTGTGGATTATGTGACTGTGTAGCAAGTTGTCTTCCTCTTGGGGATGGCAGTTTGCAGATTCTCTCGAGAAGGTAACTGTGTATATGGCTTGAGGAATCAAGCATGATGGTTATCTGGGAACAGCTGAACCAGCTTGGAGATCATTCTGGGATGAAAACCAAGTTTAAGGACTGGGGCAAGATATAACACCCAGTTTTCCAACTGTCCAAGAGTAGTTACCAACTTTTAGGGATCATTTTAGAAAGGGTGAGCACCTGGGCTGGTTGTCTAGAGAAAACTGACTGTGTTTGAGGATTATCTGGGGGGACACACAGGGAGCCCCTGGAATCATGAGGTCACTAAATCTGGGAGCTGAGGCGGCCTTGAGAGACCCTTTCTGACGCACCCATTTTACCAGTTAGAAAACTAACCCCAGAGAGGGAAAGGACTTCCTTGAGGTCACACAGCACCCAGTTCAGTCTTCATCAATTAACCAGTGTTTACTATGTGCCTCCTCCGTGCCAGGCACTATCTTGGGGCAGAGCTCACATTAGGAAACAAAACACAAAATCCCACCCTCGTGTGGCCAGCATGCTAGTGTGTGTGTGTATGTGGAGGAGGAGACCGTAAACACGTAAATGCATCAATAATATCATGTCAGCTATATGCTATGAATAATAGTAAGGCAGGGGGAAGGGATATGGCTGGAGTGGAGGGTGATATTTTTGGCAGATGACCAGAGACCTGAGGAAAGTGAAGGAGCCAGCCATGGAGATATCAGGGGGAACAGACTGCCAGGCAGAGGGACCAGCATGGGCAAAGGCCCTGAGGTGGGAACATGCCTGGCGGGTCCGATGTTAGAACACAGTGAGCCGGGGGGAGGAGAGTGGTGGCAAGCCAGGCTGGCGGCCTCTCCCATGTGCGGGAATGGATCTGGGCTGACCTGAGCGCCACCCTCCCCTCCCCAGGAGGTGGCGCTGTCGGGTCTGGAGCTCCCGGGCACGGTGGAGTCGGTTGAGGAGGCGTTGAAACGGCACAGGGATTTTCTCACCACGATGGAGCTGAACCAGCAAAAGATGCAGGTGGCCGCGCAGGCTGCCGAGGGCCTGCTGAGGCAGGGCAACGCCTACGGGGAGCAGGCCCAGGAGGCCGTGGCCCTGCTGCTGGAGAAGTAGGTCCCCCCGTCCCCAGGGGCACAGGGGAGGGTCGAGGGAGGTCGGGGTTCTGCTCCTTTCCATCACAATTTCTGCTTCTCTGCCCCTCTTTGATTTCTATTTAATTCCATCTTGTTTTAGATTTGATTTAAATTGATACTTACAGTGAGATGTTTCTCTCCTGAGCCTGCCCTCAGCCTGGGATGGCTGGACGGGTTGTTAAATGTTAACATGTTTTCCTAGATGCCCCAGCATCTGCCCTGCTGTCCTGGCCCCTCCCTGGGAACCCCGGGATGTCCCCAGACCCAGCAGCTAACAGCATACGCACAGGTGCTGTTCCAGCTTTCCCGATGGGACGGTGTCCCTGCCATGCTGGTTGTAGAATATTATGAATGAGCCCCTCCGATGGGCCCCAACTGCCCAGTTCTCTAGGAGGCACGCAGAGTGCATGTGTGTGTCTTTTTCACGCTTCCCTTGCACATGATCCTTCTCTGCTCTGTCGCCATCTGTCTCCCCATGCCCTCTCTCCTGTCTGTCCTCGCACTAACCAAGCAAAGACATTGAGCTTCTGCTGTGTGCCGGGCAGTATTCTAGGCCCTGAGCAAAACAGCATCCCCCCACCCCCCAAAAAAATCCCAGCCCTCGAGTAGAGTCCTCTAGAGGGTCTCCTCCAGGCCCACTTGTTTCTCTCTGTCACCGTCATTGTTTCTGCCCTTCCTGGTGACCCCAGCTTTCTCCTCTCTGGCATGATCCAGGCTGAAAGAAAGCCTAGCACCCCTCCTTCTGTTTTCCTGTCTCCTGAAGGAGAGCACACCCAGTCACCCCACTGCCACCTATAGCCCCAAGACCCTGGCCCCCCTTCTGTCTGGAGCTCAGGCATGCTTTCCCCCTAAATTCACGTGGGACGAGGCTGGAGTTTTCTAACGGAAACGTTCACAGGGATTTGATTCTGCTCCTGAAGATGCAAACTCATGATCGAGTGCCCCCAGCTCCCGGCCTGCTCTCTTTCTTCCTTGGTCTCACATTTCTCGAGTACCTGCTGTCTGCCAGGCTCTGCAGAACGAGGAGGAGGAGCCTGGAAGACTGCTCATTCTCGGATTCACTCATTCATTCCTCTCCAGTCATAGTTGCTCCTTCCATTCTGTTGTGTGTTCATTTATTCCTCAGCCGGTTAAACGGGTTCTGAGTCCATGCTCTCTTGCACGCCCTGCATGGGGCAGTGCTGGGCACACGGCGGTGACCAGGACAGAACATGATTCCTGCCCTCACAGAGCTTGCACGGTATCTGACAAGGATGGCCCAGAGTGGTCAGGGCCGAGATGGGGGAAGCACAGGGTGCTGTGGGAGCCCAGAGGGGGCATCTGCCCCAGGCTTGTGCTGGGGGAGGCTGGGAACACAGCAGGAATTGAGACAAACCCAGTGCCTGCACCCCTCACCCCCAGGTCCCCTTCATTTACTCATCTACAGACACGTTTCCCACCCAGTGGAAGTAATGACACATCCATTCACTGCAGGGAGGCCTTTCCACGCCCACAAGGGGGGCAGAACCATGCAGAGTTGGGGGCTGGGGCCCTGGGGTCAGACAGGGCCAGGTTCTAGTCCTAGCTCCACCCCTCAACCTGGGATTCAGGGCAAGTCACTTAGTCTCTCCCGGTGCTTCACCTCACTGGGAACCTGCCAGCCCTGTGTGCGGGGTGCCGTTATCTGCATTTTGCACATGAGGCTCAGAGAGGTCATTGACTTGCCCAAGGTCGCGGCCAGGAAGTGAACGCTGCCCTTTTCTCACCCTCCCAGAGAGGAGGCATGTTCCTCTTCCCTAGGACTGATGCTTCACACGGTGGCTGGGGAAGGTCTGGAGGGGTTGATTTCAGTTCCATTTCAGAGGCATTTCTAGTTCCTGGCTCCCAGGCAGGAGGAAGTCAGTACTTTGCTTGTGTGTGTCTGATCCTTCCTATTCTCCTTCCAGCTCTGCCCCTGGCTCTCTCTGTAACTTCCTCTCACGCTCTCTGTCTCTTTGCCTCCATTCATCTATCCCTGTGTCTGTTTTCTTCTCTCTCTCTCTCCCTGTTTTTGTCTAACTCTGTCTCATCTCTGTCGTCTTCTGCCTCTCTCTGTCTTTCTCAGTCTCTTGACTTTTGTTTCTGTCATCTCTCTTTCTCTCTGCTTCTGTCTCTCTTTCATTCATTCAACAAATATGTATTGAGCACCTACTGTGTGCCAGGCCCTTTTCCTAGGCATTGGGGATACAGCGGTGACCAAAACAGACAAAAATTCGTGCCCTCGACATCCTAGCGGGGGAGACAGAGAAGATACAGAAGTAACATATACCGTGTGTTGGATGGTGTTAAGTGCGAAGGAGAAAATTAAAGAAGGAAAGAAAGCCAGAAAGTGTCGGGGACTGGTTAGGAGGGGCCTCACTGAGAAGGTGACATCTGAATAGACGCTGTGGGGAAGAGCATTCCAGGCAGAGGGAATAGCCAGTGCCAAGGCCCTGAGGTGGGAGTAGCTTGTTCAAGGCACAGCAAAGTCAGATGTCCCCAGCCCCCTCCACCAGGCCTCTTGGCCCTTTGCCTTGCACTGTGGGCAGCAGGCCAGGCTGCCCGGGGCTGCGGTTCTGGCCCACTCCAGGGTGAGGGGGCCTGGGTCCAGCCTGGCCAGTTCACTCAGGCCAAGGACCTGCCCCTCCTTGCCAGCACACCTTCCCACCTTCCCTGTGGCTGTCCCTGCCCTGACTCTCTGTCACTTTCCCTCTCTCTGCCCCCTTCTCTCTCTCTGCCACTACCCCTGCTCCATTTCTTTCCTTGTTGTTCCCTGTTTTCTCTCTCCCTGAGTCTCCCTCTGTCTCTCTCTAGGTCTCTGGCAGTCACTCCCTCTTGAGGTCTCTGTTTCTCTTCGTCTCTGGTCTTGTGTCTAAGTATGTGTCTCTGTTTCTCTCTCTCTCTAGGCCTTTGCCCCCCTCTCTCTCTCTGAGTCTGTCTCTCCTTCCTAATCTCTCTTTCTCTCTAGGTGTCTCTCACTCTAAGTTTTTGTCTCTTGGTATCTCTGTAGGTCTCTGTTATCTCTCCTCTGGAATTGTGTCTCTCTGTCTCTTTCTTTGTCTGTCTCTAAGTGTCTGTATCTCTTTCTTTCCAGATGTCTATCTCCCTCCCTGTTTCTTCCATCGTCTCTCTCTCTCTGCCCCTCTCCAGGTCTGTCCCTGCTCTGCCCCCACTGATGGTTCTTTGTCCCTCCCCCCATCCGCACTTTGCTTTCTGCTCCTTCTTGATCTTACATATGCCCCAGGTTCCTAGCCCTGCCAGGCACGATGCCCTCACAGCCCTACTGACAGCACCTCCCGACCCAGGCTTCCCCCAGCCCCTATCTCCCCATCCCCAGGAGCCAAGAAAACCAACTACGGGCCCAGCAATGGATGCAGAAGCTACACGACCAACTTGAGCTGCAGCACTTCCTCCGAGACTGCCACGAGGTAGGAACTCCAGCTGTGCTGGGCACAGTGACTTCTTTCCTAGGGAGGGAAGTGCTCCGGGGCAGAGAGGTGGGTAGGGGCGCCGTGGGGTGGGCACGCCCCGTCCAAGTGGGTCGAAGAGCGATGTTCACTCTGCGCCGCCAGGGGGCGCGCGGGTCCTGGCCTCAGTGCGCATGCTTTGCAGGTCCTTCCTCCGCCCACGCGGGGGCCGGGGAAGGAGGGAGAGGCCCTGGGCGCCCCTGGCAACGGCGCGCGTCCGCGCCTACGGGTCCCGCGGGGACGCGCGCTGATCTCATCTTTCACTCAGGAGATTTGTGAGAAGCGCCCTGCTGGGGAAAGGGGCGGGAGACCGGGAACGGGCAGGGGAGGCGTGGACCAGCGGCCCGGAGCGCAACTTCGGTCAGAGATGCTCCAGAACCAAGCTTTCACCTTTTTAAAAAAAGTGTCCAGGAATCAAGCTCTGCCCCTTTAGAGATGATCTACACACCTGTAAGGATCGCCCCAAAACAGAGGTGGTCCAGGTCCCCTTCCGCATTAGAGACGGTTCAGGAGACACGCTGCCTCCCCCTTTGTCCCCCTACGTTCCATAGAAAATGTTCTGGACTCTGACCATATAAGAGATGGCCCCATTAGAGATCGCCCAGTAAACATTTTCCTAACCCCAACCAGAGATGTTCCCGACCTCATCCATCTACCTGACCTAGGCTCATCGCCCCCCCCCCCCATGATGATACGGTACCTAAATTTCCCCCAACCAAAGATGGTTCCTGAACCAGGCCCAGATACCCCCAATTAAAGATGATTTGACTTCCTCCATGGTGAACCCCTGTGGGATATTGTTCTCCCTACATATGAAATGCACAAGGGCCTCCATAACCCCCACCCCACATAACTCAAGTCCATTAGAGACGAGTCTGACAATCAAGCCCACTAGAGATGGGTCCAGGAACCCCTTGTCCCCCTCCTTCCCATTGGAGATTATTCTGGACTGAAGTCTGATAAGAGGGCCCCCCTCCCATATCCTCTGCCCCTGAATAGCTGAGGTATCCAGGAATCTGAGTCCCGTCCCATTAGGGATGGTTCAGGAGCCCATCCCACCCCCACCTTCACGTAGTGGAGGTAGCCCAGGCCCCAGGCACCCCTCCTGCCATTCGGTTTGGTCCAGGAGCCCCTTCCCCCTCTCGTGAGATTGTTCTAGACCAAGTAGCAATCAGCAGAGATGGCGCAGGAACCCCCCCGCCCCGTGCTTTAGGGAGGGTGGTGATTCCTCTACCCCCAACTGGGGCCCAGCAAGGAGGCGGGCACGGAGGC